AGAGAGAGAGAGAGAGAGAGAGAGAGAGAGAGAGAGAGAGAGAGAGAACAAGAAAGCCAGAGAGAGAGAGAGAGAATGAATGAATGAGAGAGAAATGGACAGACAGACAGAGACAAACAGAGACAGATTTCATGTGCTAATAATTGTACAGTATACATGGAAAGAAACCTCCAAGGGAAGGTGCTAGCCATGGAAGGATGGAAGTAAGAATCAGGGCAAGAAAGACCTCTTACAGCAGAAGGTGGGATTAGAGATGTTTGAGGGAAGCCAGTGAATCTAGCAGGCAGAAATGAAGAGGGAGAACACAACATTCTAGGCATGAGGGACAGCCCATGACCCAGGATTTGAGAGATGGAATGTCATGTACAAGGAAGAGCAAGACACTCGTGGTGGCTGGATCATGGAGTAGAAGGAGGGGAGAATGCTGGAAAGGAAGGAAGGGGCCAGGCTGGGAAAGGCTTTCAGCACCAAACAAAACATTTTTTATTTGATCCTGGAGCTAATAGAAAGGCCCTAGAGTTGGATAAGTTGGAGGATGACATGGTCAGATTTTGCTTTAGGAAAATCCCATTGGAAGTTGGCTAGAGGATGGATTGGAGTGGGGAAGCACTGGTGGTATTGCGAGTCATTAGAAGACTATTAAAATAGCCAAAGTCAGTAGTGATGAGAGCCTGGACCAAGGTGGTGGCTGCAGAAGTGGACAGCAGGAGATGTGTGTAGGAAGGGCTGTGGGAAGCTAAGTGATACAGTGGAGACAGTCCTGCCTTTGGCATCATGCAGGCCTGAGTTAAAATCCCACCTCAAGTGCTATGTGACCTTGGACAAGTCATTTAACCATTGTTTGCTTAGATATTCTCATCTGTAAAATAGGGATGGTAATAGTACCTACCTCCAATGGTTACTGTGAGGACCGCATAAGATAGTATTGGTAAAGCACTGTGCTATATAAATTAGCTATCATTATTATTATATTGTTGTAAAATGACAATACTCAGCAACTAATCAGAAATGTGGAGTGAATGTTGAAGATGGCACTAAAGTTGAGAGCCTGGTTGAGTGGGAGGAGGGTGGTGCCCTTAACCATCCAACGTGCCAAAGGAAAAGATGTTGCTGTTGTTGTTTTAAAGACTAGGTCTCCCCATCTTGTCCAGGCTGCCAGGACAGGGGCTACTCATGGTCCCACTTCTGGTTGGTATGGGAGCTTTGAGCTATTCCTTTTTTGACTTGGTCCAGTTCACCTCTCCATACACCACCTGGTGGCTCCCACTTCCATATTGATGATCCTAGCTTGGCACTGATTTGGATAACCCATCACTATTCAAAATTCCCAAGTTCAAGAGATTCACAAGCCTCAGCCTCCTGGTAAGTTGGGATTACAGGCATGTATGAAAATTATTTGTTTGTTGTTTAGTCATTTTTTAGTTGTGTCTGATTCTTTGTGACCCTATTTAGGGTTTTCTTGGCAAAGATATTAGAGTGGTTTGCCATTTCCTTCTCCAGGTCATTTTAAAGATGAGGAACTGAGGCAAACAGGGTGAAGTGACTTGCCCAGGGTCATACATAGTAAGTATCTGAGGCTGATTTGAACTCAGGAAGAGGAGTCTTCTTGACTCTAGGCCAGGCACTCAATCCATTGCACCATCCAGCTGCCCCATGTATGACAATGCTTGGCAATAATGGGGAAGATTGGAAGAAGGTTGGATTGGGGAGAAGATAATGAGTTTCTGACTATGATTAGTTATATTTCTCTTTGGCAGTTTGGTTCCCCTCCTTCATCACTAGGGCTCATCATATTGATTCTAGATGTAGTTTGGACCACCGATAAGTTTAACAGATTGCAGCTCATAATTCCCCTAGCTCCAGGCATTCACCAGCCTTAGACTTCCCCAGTAAGAAGTATTAGAGGTATGCAGCACCATGCCACGGCAAACCACTCCAGTATCTTTGTCAAGAAAATCCCAAATGGCATCATGATGAGTCAGACATGACTGAAATGACTCAACGAAAACAAGCATCATACCAGGCTGAAGAATTGTTTACATATTAATGGGGGATAAGAAATAAATCTATTCTCAGAACTCTTACTGTATTTGAGGGTGGTAGAGAAAAGTTAAAATGATGGGGTGTGTGGGTGGTTTTGTTCTGCTTCAGTAGTCTTAGGGGAAGGCACAAATGGGAGGGGTAGGGGATTCTACTGGGGAAAAAAGGAGGAAGAAGGGGAGGCAAATCACTATTTCATAATAGAGGAGTGTAAGATGAAGCTATATAGGCATGAAAGAAGGGGTGGGGAAGAAAGGGCATCCCTATGAACCTGAAATTTAATCTGATTGAATAAAGAAAGATTGAACTCACTTACCCAGAGATTTTAGTCTAGAAATAAAACTCAAAAGGGAAAAAGGAGGGGGCAAGAGCAAATGAGATATAGAGGTGAGGTTTAAGAAAGAGGACAAGACATGTAAAGAAAAAGTGAAAGCAAAAGCAATCTTGAATATTGGAGAGAGGAACATGAGGGGAGGACTAAAAGGACAGTAAGAGAGAGTAAAAACCTGGTACCAGGGGAAGGGGAAGGGTGAGAGAAGAGCTGAAACAGAGTCTGTTATTTATAAGATACAAGTGTCAGACAAATTCTTTCCCTTCTACACAGCCATCTTCTTATTTGTAAAGAGGGAAGGGAGGGGGAAAAAAAACAGTACGAGGACAGACTAGAGGTAAATAAGTGAATAACATTCATGACTCAGAATGTGAATGGGATGAACTCACCCATAAAAAAAAAATATGCTGTCTGTAGACATATACAGTTAAAATTAGAAGACTGAAGCAAAATCTACTATGCTCAAACTCAAAAAAGCAGGAGGAGAAGGAAGGTAAATCACCCAATGGAAAGAGTGCTAGCCCTGGAGTCAGGAGGCCCTGATTTCAAATCCAGCCTCAGACACTCACTAGAGGTGTACCCTGGGCAAGTCACTTAATCCTGATTGCCTCCCCTTCCCCTAAAAAAAGGCAGGCATAGCAATCATACTTTCACGTAGGGCTACAGTAAATATAGAAAAAACAAAAAAGAGACAAGCAGGGGAATCTATTATATTTAAAGGTATTATAATTAATGAATTGATCAATAGCAATATTTTATATATGTACCCAATATCATAGCATCTAAATACATAAAAAATATTGAATGTAATTGGAAAGAAAAATAGGAAAACTATAATATCAGGGGAACTTTGTGGACCCTTTGAGACTTAGGCAAATCTAACCAAAAGATAAATAAGAAAGAAGAGAACATCAGAAAAAAATAGAGATAAAGAATATCTGATGATTACTGAATGGGAGTGGAAAGGAATTTACTGACTACTCAACTGTGAATTCCATGTTTACAAAAATTGACCAAGTATTGAGGAATAAAGCTTCACACAGTGCAGAAAAGCAGACATACTAAACAGGTTTGATCATAAAACAATAAAAATATATTCAATAAAGGACTCTTAAATAATTGTAAAAAGCAATTGGAGGCTAAATAATATAATTCCATAGAATTCATGAGTCAAAGAACAAATTTTCAAAATAATTCCAAATGATCTTCCTATCTTACCTCCCACCACCAGAAATCAGATATGTAGTGAATTCACTCTCACTTTCTCAGAACCATGTAGTCTACATCTGTACTTCCAGGATTTTAGAGGACCCTGAGGGATTGGGTTTTGCCTTCTCTTTACTGTCATTGGCTTGAGACTCACTAGCAATGTTCCCCCACTGTTAGGTGTCAGTAACTAGTTCCCCTGGTCTATTTAATGACTTAACATCAATTGGGTTTTGCTGAAGGATATTTACAGGGAAGATATATCAAGACCAAAGTACAAATATCTCCCCAAATACCTCTGGAGCACATTCTTCCCTCCATCACCTCCATGTCTTCTGCAGAATAGTATCGTTCTTAGTGCAGTTTCTACCTAACATTGATTCCATTGAGTTCATGTCCAAATGTGACATAGGAGCCCTCATTTCAGCTACTCTTGGGCAGGATCCAAGAAAACTAATTCCTGAAAATCACTCTTTGTCCTGGGAACATTGATGCTGTACTAATTTAAAAAATCAGACCTCTGGAATGTCAGGATATTGAGACACCCTCCTGACTTTTCAAAACTCACAACATTGGAGGTAAGAATTCCTTTAACTAGAATGTAACATATCACATACAGAGGCCAAGGACAGAGGTCCATCACACAGGATTGCATGGCTTCAGATGACACACTACTGTACAGTCCAACCAAGAATAGATGAGCTGAAGGGATTAGCTCAAAACTGACAGATCTTTTCAAATGCCTCTGTAGACCAGTCCCATCAAACTCAAATAGAAGCAGATCTCTGTGGGTCACATATTAACTTAGAAAACCCAAAGATTAACATCATATATATTGCATTGTATTTTTTTTAATTTTTAAAAAATTTCCTAATTATATTTTAATCTGGTGATCCCATTCTTAAACTTTGCCAGCTTCAAGTTTGACACTTCTGCTGTAGATCATTAAAGAGTCCACAATTCACCAAGTAGTTAGGTGACTAGAACCAGTTACAGAATGTCTCTGCATGCTCCAATGTCTTTCTAAGCCATGTCTTTCTTATGTTATCATGTCTTTCCCAGAAGCAGTCTTCTCAGTATCTCTATGTGAGAGGCAACATCATTACAGGGAAGGAAAAATGGAATGCATGTGCTCCTCAGAGAGAGAAGGATATTGTCACAGAACCAGTTTGATTTTCCCCATCTCCATCTCCCCTTGATATTGATCAAAATGTCCCATCGACCAATGACTTTGAAAATTCATGGTTATGCTCATGCAATATGACAGTTTATGTATGACTAAAGTATAAGGAATTGATGAAGAGGACAGGATGTTGCAGCCAGCAGGAAGAGGATGAATCGCGTCTTAGTTCTCTAACTGTAAATGTATTGTGTTCCCTGGGAACCCAATTCCAGGGTAAAAGTGCAGGTTCTCTATCTAGTAAATGTCCCATGTCTGTGACTAGAAGAAGGCATTTGAAATCTTCCTCATCCATCTCCAGGTGTGTGGGTATGATTGACTGGCCACCCACCAAATCAGAGTCTCACCTGCCTCTTTGACAAGCCCTGAACTTCACAATAGACTTTCATTGGCTTTCTAAGTGGTTGGGTTTCTTAACCTCCATTTGCTCTAGAGTACTACTCTTTGCCTTGACAACTTCAAATTAATGTGGAGGTTGTTTTCAGTCCTGACTCCTTTCTTGGGCTTCTCAGTGGTCATGGTGACGCCTAGGGTCTCCTCAGTCACTGATTTATGAAAGAGGCAATGGAATTGTCTACACCAAGGGAAAGGGAGGATCATCATCATCATTAGCAGCAGCAGCAGCAGCAGCAGCAGCAGCAGAGCTGCATCAGGATTCTCTTACTTCCTGGTCTATGATTCCTTTCCAGCTTTGAGTAACTTGCACATTTGAAAAAAAATGCCATTTATTCTTTTTTCTAAGCCATTGGAAGATGGCATCTGGGCTTGGGCTAGAGGATGTGGAAGGGGACAGGAGGGCAGCATTATCTGCTGAAAGCTGGCAGAAAAAATGAAGCCCATATCTGACTTGAGTTAGACAAGGAAATGAGATGAAGAGTTATTTAGAAGATTTGTTGGATATAGGTTGGTTGCTAAGGGCTTTTTAATGTCATAAAGGTTAGACCTCTGGTCATGTACTATTGACCCATCTCAATGGATCTCCAGTTAGAGTGTTTTCCTAACCTGACCTCTCCCTGGCATCCATGCTCAAGTTTGTGACTTTCTCTAGTGCGGGTCAGCACCATTTTCTCTGTCCAGTGTGCAAGGCCTAAAGGAAAGAGTAGTTCAGTATAGGGCTCTCAGACTTCTTTCCCAGGCGTTCCTCTTGCTCCCCACCCAACCCCCCAACCTTGTGATGGAAATATAGACCCATTCTCAGAGGGGGAGAATGGCCATTGTTATGCCCCTTGTTCTAGTAAATTAAAAAAAAAAACAAGAAGGGTCAAGGCACCAGAGGCCAGGATTGCGGGGTCCCATGGTAGAGAGATAGATATACTCACTGGGTGTAATAGAGCCAGGTGAGGCCATAAGTGAGAAGAATACCTATTCCCATAAGGATTCCTCGGAGCAGGGTGGGGATTAATGGCCAAGAGCTATTATTCTGCATTGGGGCTGAGGAGGGGAAAGAAAGTGAGGGAGAGGGGAGAGAGAAAGAGAGAAAGAGAGAGAGAGAGATGGAGAAAGTGAGAAACAGAGAAAGAGAGAAACAGAGAGAGACACACAGAGAGAGAGGGAGGGAGAGAAACAGAGACAGAGAGAGAGAGACAGACACAGACACAGAGAGAGAGAAGAAGAGAGAGAGAAGGAGGGAGGGAGAGAGAGAGAGAGAGAGAGAGAGAGAGAGAGAGATGGAGAAAGTCAGAGACAGAGAAAGAGAGAGACAGAGACAGACTCAGAGAGAGAGAGGGAGGGAGAGAGACAGAGACAGAGAGAGACACAGAGAGAGAGAAGGGAGAGAGAGAAAGAGAGCGAGAGAGATGGAGAGAGGGAGGGAGGGAGGGAGAGAGAGAGAGAGAGAGAGAGTTCTGGTTAACATTTGTCAACTCCATCTCTCCAACCTCACCCCTCCTGGATGCAGATGTCTTACCACCATCTCCCTCCTACTCACCCTGTACATAGAGGCTCAGGGAGGCATGTTGTGTCCCGAAAGGGTGCTGAACTTGGCAGGAGTATTCCTCACTGTCCCTTACTCTCAGACTGGGCAGCTTCAGAGGCAGAGTCTGATAGTCTGAGGCTGGAGAGCTGTTCATAATTCGACCTTCCCAAGTCCAACTGAACATGGCAGATAAGTTGCTATCAACAGTGCATATTAGAAGGAGGGTCTCTCTCTCTCCGGGAGAAACAGGTAAGAGCCAGTTCCTGGGATCACTACTGAAAAGGTCATCAACTTTAGGACTGAGAGACCGAGGTCTGGAGAGAAGGCTTGTCTAAGGTCACACAGAAGAAATTAATATAAGGCAATGGGACTTAGTTGCAAAGAAAATTGTCCAGATCTAGTCCCACCTAGATTTCCCCTTTTTCTGATTTAGATTCCACTGACCCCCAGAGCTGTGGTGGTGAACTAATGCCTTCTCTCCCCCTCTTTCCCTCTGCCAATAATTCATATTCAACCCAGCCCTAGCAGATGCCATCCACTTTACCCACAGACACTGGTCGGGTTTTTGCAAAAGCCTTCCTTAGCAATTAAGGGAAAGATGGTGTGAGATGTATCAAGATTCCAGGGCACAGAATTATCCAGGGCCAGCCAGAGTCCTGAGACTTGGTCTCAACATGGTGGTGGTGTGGTCACAGATCCTGACCAAGCTTCCTGGATTAACCAGCTCTGATGCTACAAAATTGAGCCCCAGGTTGGCTCCTCTAACAGGGAAAACCTTGACCAGGGTTAACCCTTTTTTAACCTTGGGCAGTTTGATGGTGAAACTGATGGAGCTCTTCTCAGAATCATGTTTTTAAATAATTGAAAGAATTGCTGGGGCAGCTAGGTTGCACAGTGGTTAGAGCTCCAGCCTTGGAGTCAGGAGGACCTGAGTTCAAATTCGACCTCAGACACATGACACTTACTAGCTGTGTGACCCTGGGCAAGTCACTTAACCTCAATTGCCTCACCAAAAAAAAAAAAAAAAAGAAGAGGTAGAGAGAATTGATAAATTCCAATTAGTGGTTAACGAAAATAAGAATGCAAGTTCTTCTCATCCGATACACAAACCATCTGAAATCTACTTATAGATGCCTTGGGGTCAATAGACCCCAGGTTAAGAACCCATGATGGCAATTTGGAGTATTAGAGCACAACCCTTGGTTTCTAGAGTACTAAGCTCTGACATCTCATCTGTGCCTGCTATTGTGGAATTTCAAGTCAATGAACATTTAACACATCCTCTCAACCTAAGTCTTTGCCCCCTACTAGGGGCCAGGTCTGGACAAAGTTGGACAAAGACAAGATGAGAAACAGTCCTCCATCCTCAGGGACTATCCTGTGGAATGTGCCATGCATGCAGCAAAATAAATAACAGCTCGTCTGAGAAGAGGAGCATGGCAAGAGGTAATCAAGGAAGGCTTCTTGCAGGAGGCAGCACCTGAGCTGAGCCCTTACCCCCACCAACCCCTCCCCCCACGCCACCCCCCCACCCCCGAGACAAAAGGAAGATTCTAAAATATTTTGGGCCCCGGACTTGATTTCAGAAGACTAAGGTTAAAACTGAGATTTTGCTACTTAACATGCACAAGACCTTGGGCAAGTCCTTAAACTCTGAGCCTCAGTTTCCTCATCTGTAAAACAGGATGAATAATTCTTGTGCTCAGTCATTCACACTGGGGTGAGGAGAGACACTTGAAAACCTTAAAGTGCTAAATAAATGAAATGAGGATGATGCTAATGATGATGGTGACTAGTACTGCTATTCTATGGTGAGGGGCATTTATTCGTAAGCAGAACCAGCCCCTGGAAAGAGGAATCCTGTCTCCCTTGTCCCCTAGTTCCATGGGCCACTAAAGAGCCCTGCCCACAGATCCCTGATAATACCTGTCTTGTTTCCCCATACAACCTGGATGGTCAAGTTCTTCGGTGTCTCTAAAATGGAAAGTTGTAGGTGACTATTTGGTGGAACGGGATGCTTTTTCTTCAGCATTGGAATGAGATAGGGACCTTCATCCCCAGAAACAAGGGCAGAAAATGAAAAAACTCCCCAGCATATCCCCCCTCTCAGGGCCCCAGATGTCTTGGCCATCGCATGACATCCTATGTCTCCAGTCCTGGACCATCTCCTCTCCAGTTCACTCTCTTCTGGGTCTCCTGCCTTCAGCACTCACAGGACAGGTTAAGTTGGATGGTCCTCTCTGTGCTCACATTGCCTCTAGGGAAAGTTGCTCGACAAGTCAGGCTGGAGCGTGCTCCCGGGGCATTGGAGTCAGAGAGATCTCCGATGAAGAGGTTGCCTCGTGGTCAGGATCCTGGGAGGAAAGGGCTGCCCCTCTCCAGGAGAAGATGGGTGGTATCGCCTCCATACAGACCCCAGGAAATGTGCAGTTCAGGGTCACACGATGCCCAGCCTCCAGGGTTTGGGGAACATAGATGTCTGGCTTCTGTGTCCGAGCTGGGGGAAGAAAAGGAAAGTGGTGAGCTAGACTCCAGGTTAAGTACATGCGCAGTGCAACCCCCAGTGATGGCCTGGGGGTCATTCATTGTATGTAACCAGCGTGCTTTTCCCCAACGTGGTCCCATTTGATTCCCAACACTATCCCTCCTTCCAGGGACATCCTCTGCCTCACCCTGTTCCCTAAGGCACTCATTCCTAGGGTTATAGAAGCATAAGAGAATGTTCCTTATTACTCACCTAGTCTATCGTCACACTTTCCTAAGTACCTTCTTCCCCCCCTCCCCCACTTCATGAAAAGTAATGTCAGCAAAGGTAGTAGGTAGGAGAAGCGGGATTCAAACCGAGGATCTAACTTCAGAGCCATCCGTCGGGCTACCCAGCTGCCCCCTCACCTCTGCCTTGGATCCTGTTTGCTCGCAGAGAGGTCTCTAGATGGCGCGTCCAGACTCAACCCTTAGCCCCTGGACAACATTTGCAAAGAAGCTCTCTCTGCGAGCTTACCCACGCACCCTCCTGTCATAGGTTGCCTCTGAGACTCAGTACATGAGAGGCTTTCCCAGGGCTGCCCCGGTTCCACCCAGTGCTCCCTTCCCTGGAAGGAGTTTCCTACCTGTCACATTCACATAAACTTTAAAATCCAAATAACTGTGTTCCTGTGACTTTCCAATGACCACCTCTAGGAAGTACCTCCCGCTGTCTGCTTTCTGGACTTCAGTGATGCTCAGGGAGCAATCCCGTCTCGTTGGAAACAAGCGGAGGTGGAGTCGCCCTCGTGTCTCCGCTTGTACGTCCCGATCTCTGCCGTTCGTGGCCACAGGCTTATCTCTGGCAGTGTCTGCCCCTTCTCGGAACCAGCTAGCAGTGAGGGACAGAAAATAGGAGAAAAGAAGGATCTTGCAAGGGATCGTGACACACATTCCCTCCCTCACCGTCACCGAGCTGGGCACCTGCAGCTCACTCGGTATCTGGGACAGGAAGCCACTCACTCCTCCAAAAGAGGACCAGCAGTAGCAAAAGCTGCGATCTCATCTAGGGCCTCGGTCAGGGGTCACGTTACTTTCCAGGCCCCAGGGCTTCCTTTTTGCAGCACTTCTGCAGTCCACTCCACCCCTACCCTAGTTCAGTCCAAAGGAGAAGTTGAAAGACGAAGCTGGTGTGGGAAAGGTAGAAAAGGATACAAGAAGGGACAGCTGGTGGTGCAGTGGAGAGAATACTGGCCCTGGAGTCAGGAGGGCTTAATAGCTGTGTGACCCTGGGCGAGTCACTTAACCCTGATTGCCTCCCCCACCCAAACAAAAATCCAAAGAAGATGGGTTCTACATCTCGGGCTGACTCAGAGCCCTATTAGCTCTAAGAGGACAGACTTTCTGCACAGGCTGTATTCCTGGGTGTTTGCAGAGGGAGCTGTGGGTCTCTCCTGCTGCTCTGGGATCAGCTAACCCACTTCTCTGGCCTCAGGATTTTTGCAGCTTTGTGGAGGATGGTTCGGAGAATGCTTTCAGAAATGCTAAATGGCTGTGGTTCAAGGAACAAACAATACACTTCCCAAAGAATCAAACAATAATAATGGAGCACATGTTATAGTGGGCATAAAAAGCCTGTGGCATATTACCAGTAGGGACCTGCTTGTTTAAAAAACAGTGGTAAAAATATGATATTGATGTGTTTTGAGAGGCTCGGGGACCCCCACCCCCCGACCAAAGTACAGTTCAGGGGCATCTGGAATGAATTCATGGACTCAAGCATACTTCAAGTCAAGTTGGCAAGAGTTTATTATAATGCTAATATGGTGGGCAGAGCTCCTTAGAGAACTTGCTGTGGTGGGCAGAGCTACTTGAAGGATTCTGCAACCGAACAGGAACAATGCTAAAGCTTATACAGGAAAAGTAGTGCATTATGTGCCAAGTATGCTAATTAGGTGATGACATACAACCTTGGTCACAGGCGTCATTTACTACTGGAAATGGGGTTGAGGGGGAAGGTTCCTAAGGGGTGTAGGGCTGTATTTTTGGTCTGTTATGTCTGTAACAAGATAGCTTCAGGAGCTGATGTCTATAACTTGACCTCTGGATCGTATATGATAACTGTGGAAATCAGTACATGATAATTTTATTGATACAAGATGGTACAAGGGAAATTCTACAGCAGTCAACTTGTTCTTGTAACAGGGAGAGATAGTGAGATAGTTTACCTCACTGGGCCCACTCATGAGTTATTGCCAAAGATAGGTCTTTGGGCTGGGGAGAAAACTGTCAGGGATCATTTTTTGAGGTTAGGGAGAAATATGATCTTGTAAGGGGGGTCTGAGTACAAGCACCAAGCACCCCACCAATATTATTTAGGAAATATGGGCTGGGAAAGCGAAGAGGGCTGGGTGTGTGGCAGGAGCCCAGCATTGTAAGACTCCTGTGCATTTTTAAACCTAAGGAAAGCTGCCAACACATTTGATGCATTCTACAGGAAAATATGGGCAAGAGCCACACCAGACCAGAGATGTGAAAGGCTTGTAATCTATACCCATGCAGGAAGTCCTGACATTGATGAGGTTGTAAATCTGCTGAAATATTGAAGCATTATCCAAAGGATGGCTAGTGACCATCTAGAAAAGGAAGCAATCATCACTCAGAGTCACTAAGAATAGGCAGGGCCCACGTGACTTCTTTGTCTCTTGACAAGGTTACTAGATCAGGTGAACTCTGTAGAGGTAATTTTCCTGGATTTTACTTACTTTATAAAAGTTTCATTGCTGCCTTTTGTTTTTATATCACATTCATTTCCTTCACTCCCCCCTGCAAGGCAAGCCTTGCCCCAAATTACGCAGATTTTTGCAAAGTATTTTCTACCATTGCTCATTGCTGGTGAACAAGACAGAGAGATTTAGGTTAAAAGATAATATATTGAGCAGATTAGGAGCTGATCGGGAAGAGTAGTTATTAACAGTTTAAATTCAGCTTGGAGGGAGATCTTTAGTGGGGAGCCCCAGGAATCTGTGCTTGGTTCTGCGCTGTTGATATGATATGATTGATAATGATATGATAAAGGCTAATCAGATTTGCAGATGAGGCAAAGTTAGAAGAGATGGTTAATATATTGGGCGATGGCAACACAATCTAAAAACATCTTGACAGGCTAGAAAAAATGAGGCAAATCTAATAAGATGAAAATTAAAAGGAATCAATGCCAGGTCTTATTCTTAGGTACAAAAACCACCCTCAGAAATAATAATGGGAGAACTATGGCTAGATTATAGCTGGTCTGAAAAACATCTGAGGATTGTAGGGTCCTGCCAATTCAGTATAATTCAACATTGTGACAGAGTGATTTTAGGCTGCCTTAAGAGAATGATACTTTTCAAAACCAGAGGTAAGAATTACAGGGTATTCTGCCCTTGAATAGAGTCCAAATGTGGCACCCCCTTGGGGATGTATGATAGAAGGGCCATTTTCTCACTTCCTCCCTCCCTCCTGTCCTAACTTCAGAGCTCTGAGTGCTTCCTGACAGCCATGCTGACTCTTAATTGGCTGCTGATCCCAAGCACCTCTGGCTGCTTCTCCCTTCTAGCTCTGCTCTGTGGAGGGCAAGCAAGGCTACCCATTTGGGGCAACCACCCATTTGTGTCTTCTTTGCCTTCTGAGATCTTAAAAGGCAGCTGGCATCTCCCCATTGCTGGGTACTTAAGCAGCAGGGTGGTATCCATCAGAGGAGCAGCAGCTACAGCAGTAGGGGCAAGCCTGGAGAGGGAAAAGAGTCCTCCAGGGAGAGAGGGAGGCCACTGAAAAGCAAGAGCCCACATGGTGTTGACTGGGCTCCATTCAGGGGACATGGAATGCTGCTGCTAAGGTGAAGATGAAAAGCTACTAATGAGCAGTCCTGGAAAAGAACTGTTTGCAAATATCCCAGTAAGGCTGGAATATTAGCTTTTCAACCAGCTGTTACCATTCTATGATTCTTTATTTGCTTAGCATTCCTTTTTCTGTGTGGGAATAAAAGTACCTCTTCCATATCTGACTCCACTTAGTCAACAGGCTTGGACAAACTATGCCTTGGGCTTGGAAAACTCAGGCAGCTCAATCTGATGACAACCTGTCCATGACATTTGAAAGACATCCGAGAATGGGAGGGACTTCTCAGCTGTGACTTGTACTCTGGGTACTTTTTTAAAAAACTTCTTCCCCTTTTTAGGAAGACTCCTTACACTACAGTTACAAATAGAATTGTTCCTGTGGAATCTGAGGCAGAGTTCAAGTTGAAACCCTAGGAACCCTTTCCCCTATTGAGGATACAGGCAATCCCAGAGTGATGAACTCAGGGCAAATCGCTCGGGAAGGTCAGGAGTTAGGATTAGTAAAGGTCACCAGCCACAGGGATCCTGGCTAGCTACTGGGCTAGGCATGATGTTGGGGAGGAAATTAAGTGAGAGAATATTCTTTACCATAACAGTGAAGAGACCAGGCATCAGGCATTAGCAGGATCAATTGAAGGAACAGAGGATGTTTAACCTGGAGGAGGATAGACATTGGAGGATGTGAAACCTCTTCTCAAGGCTGTAATATGGAGGAGGAGTTATCACAGGATGCAAGTTAAAGACAGGCTGATTTTGATCAAAGTTATAAGTACCCTCATAATTAAAGCAATGCAAATTTGGAAGAAGCTGCTCTTGAAGAAAGCAGGTTCCCCCCTCACTGGAACTTCGGGAGAAGGAGGGCAGTCAGCACAGTGGACAGAGTACTAGAACTGGAGTCAGGAAGCCTTGAGTTCCTAACCCACTTTAGACACCTACTAACTGTGTGACCCTAAGAAAGTCACTAACCCTCTGCTTCAATTTCCTCCTCTGTAAAGTGATCCCATGAAGATGACCTATCTCTTGGAGTTATGTGGAAAAGTGAGATAATACACATAAAGCCCTTTGCAAACCTTAAAGTCATATAAATGCTAGCTATTTTTGTTATTATTGTTGTTTAAGCAAAAGCTGATGGACTGATTGCCAGGTAACTCACAGAGAGACTCCTGATCAGGTGCGTGTTGCACTAGATGACCTCAAAGGTCCCTTCTGGATCTGAGATGTCTTGATTCTTTCCTTCTTTGTAAATGTGCACAAATTACCCCTTTGTCAATGGGTTCCTGAGTTTTTCCAAAAGAAGAAGTCACACTCACTGTCTTACAGTTTAGAAACTCCACTCTCTTCCCTTTTTTTGAAGCTATGTTCAGATTTGCCTCTATGAGGTGTATTTCCCATACTTTGATGTCCTTCAAAGTCATGGACAGGCTGTCTTCAATCTCATCTGTCAGTTCTTCCCATGCCCAAAGTGTGGTTTGTCCAACTCTGTTGACTTGACCTCATTAACAGTGACTGATACCCTTTCTCTTCCAGTTTGCCTACTTAACTTACCGTCTTGGCTTCCTGTTGGGCAATCCTGTTCTACCCATTCTGGTCACTTCCCTCCTGTACAAGCCCAAGAACCTTCTGATCCTAATGAAGGACTTATCTACTCCTTGATTTGCCTCAGCCTCCATTGCCAGTTGATTATCAACGAGGGAGAAAATGAGGGCTGGGTTTAGTTTGAAATTAGGTATAGATGAAGAAGAGATGAGGATGGGGTTTGATTTGGACTCCCAGGGGTCCCTGGACCACACTTCGAGAATGACTGCCCTAGCTAATAGTAGGTATCTATTAAAGGTCTTACTGAATTAAAGAAAATGTATTTTTAGGAGAAGACAGAGCTGAGCTGAGTATGCTTGTAGAAATCAGGGAAGGATTCAGTGGGGAAGTGTAGAATTAGTATTTTAGGCCTGTCTAACTGTATTTTACTTTTAGACAACTCAATATCACTGCAAAGGGCTATGGGTAGGCTAGGTATTGCTAACCTGAAGGGTTATAAGAAATTGTCTTTTCCTTGAGAAACTTTGCTTCCTCTTAGGCATAATAAAAAAAAAGAAACACCTTCCCCATGTGCTATAATCACTTTTTCTCTCAATAGATTATTTGTTCCCAGAATTCTCTTTGCTATCCCTCTTCTGCCTTTTAACTCTGAGCCA